ATTGACAATCTCTCGATGAGGACCAAAAATTCTTGTGCCATTGATTTTGTTATATTGTTCCTTTAGGTCTTGCCATACCTGAGCTGCACTGTGGGAATCCACTATCCCGTTAAAGATATCTTTCCGAAACAGAGTTAAAAACCAAGCAAGTACCAGCGAATTGCATCTCTCCCATTGCGGAATTAAACGAAATGAACTGAGAGCTTTGTGCAGTTTCCATCCATGAAACCTAGCTTATTTTTTGCACAAAGTGAAAACAGTCATGGCACGACTCCAAATACCAAGTTTTCAGTTCCGACGAGTTGTTTAGAGACCAATACAGAGCCTGGCGTGTCTGATGGATGAACATAGAGGGGTGAGTTGGAGTCTATTGAAGGAGCACAACTGAATCTTCACTCACATTAACCATTTCTGTCGAAAGAATCGAGCTAGGTTGAGAAAGGAAATTTGCAAGAACTGAAAAGATTAAGCTTCTTTGAGCTTGATTAAAGTAAAAAATTATACTCTAATCGAACTAATTTGATCAAGATGTGGAAGGTTTCTCAGCTCTGATACCATGTTGACTTTCGGGAATGAGAAAGAGAAGAAGATATCTAGAAATTACAATCCACTTCATATATTGATGATAATGTTTCTTTATATACAAGAAGATAACCATGGTTAACTACTAACTAGAGTTAACTAAATGATTAAGTTAAATAACGGACTAACAACTATGCTAACAACTAAACTGATTCTATTAATCAAGACTAACAGCAAACTAAAAGTAGTTAACAGCAGGTTAACAAACTAATCAGTTTAATACTTCCATAAATGTAATTATCCCTTGACCTGAGGTCTTAAAGTTCAAATCCAAGAAGGTTTCAGATCCGTCTTTGATTCATGTTAGAATTAAGAGAACCCAGTTGTGTTTTTGTGATTTTGACTGATATTTGTTTCTGGGTTTGTGTTTTTTGTGATTGTAGGTATTGAATATTATTGGTTCATAAGTAGATGCACGGAAACGATGCGGTAATATTTCAATTTTTGTGATTTTTATTACTGATTGTTTTTGTATTTGTAGAAGCTTTGTTAATTTATGGGTTTTGATTCTGAATTATGTGTATGATTAGTTTATTTGATAAGTAGAGCTTTAATTGGTGATAGAAATATTGATATTTGCACATCATTATTTAATCTAACTCTTTGGTTGGATCAAAATGTTAACAGCGCCAAGAGGTGGCAGTCTCAGGTTCGATATCATCCCTTCATTTGTCATACTATAAAACCAAGCTTTTCGTTTCACTCATCCAAAGTTTTTTAATATCTTTTTTTCTCTGATTGCAGTTCCAGTTTTGCAACTTCTGTAACGATAGTTCCTGTTCAATGGGTTTATTTTTTTTCTGGGTAAGTAAAATGGGTTATTTTGTTTCTTATTTTTATTGTTATTTATATTTTTACTTATAGCTAGCTGTATTCGTCCACTTTAACGGGGGTTTATGTTTTTGTGAATGGAGATATAACCAAATGTTGCTATCATATGCATGATAGAAGTATTGATGTTTTGGGGTTAGATTGAGGCAATCTTAGTATTTTGATGATTTGAATGTACACTTTGTTTTTTACCTTAAGAGAGAGGTATGACCGTCTGTGGCATGGGTTTGTCAATGCTTCAATTCATTGATGTGGCTTAGGAGATATGAGCTAAAACAAGTATTTTTTTTTGGTTTCAGATGTCTTTCTTCCGCTGAGATTTGGTGGCATTATTTAGAAAGATTTATGCCTATGAATTTTCTAATGTGCCATTTTGTAGAGGGTGGTGCTGATGAGGGGAGATCTGAGAAATGCAGCCATAAAGAATGAAGAAGAATCAGTGTGATCTCGACAGAATTTCTTGCAGAGGTTGCCTAGTAATGCATTTTATATTTGAATATTTCACCTGTATTCTTGGAGTCTGGTACCATGTCTCGAAGGATGAAATGACCCTTCCTACATCATGGCTTGACTGAACCGATATTTCCATTGTTATGTAAACACCTTATTGGCTGACTTATGATTTTCCACTTAAAGTCAAAGATAGACTTAATCGTCCCTGGGAACAAATTATAAAGGTCAAGCACAGAAGTGGTAAGGTTACCATTTACCTAGAAAGGGTCAATGCATTATATATTGTAGTTCTGCTGTTGATAGACAAGTAGGAAGAGTTAGAAAATTATATGGTGGAAATAATATACAATCGTAGCTTCTTATAATAACATCTGTGCATATTTCCATTGTAAGGTTTGTGAAGTAGTTATTATTGGAAAATTTTTGTTTGGACCATCCCACCGTATGGGTATTACCTCAACTTTTTTGCTTTTTGTTTTTTTATTGGACAGTGGCTATTCATGTACATAAACACGTTGTTTCTTTTATAAGGCTTTTGTCTGCCTGAGGAAAAATAAAAAAATAAAACCAGAGCCGAAGGCAAAAAGAAAGAGAGAGGGAGAAGCAGTTTCAGTTTGTTAATCACACACTCATTGACAACTCGTTTCATTAATTTTATCTTTTTCTCCCCTATCTTTTCTTTTTATTTCTTGGTTTTCAATTTCATCATCAGAAGTGCCCCTGTTATCTACAGTTTTGATTTGATTGATCTATAGATCGAACGGTTTAATTCCACATGTACTGCTCTTTCGTTTAGATCTTCGTCGTTATCATCCGTTTTGATTCAGTAGCCGAACAGAGAGATTGCACAGATAGCCAAATTTGTGTTGTAAGTTTTTTCTACTTTTCATGTTTTGGTTTTTATTGTCGTTTTATTGGTTCTGTGATTGATTTTTATTTTTTTTTAATTAATTACACATGTATGGATATGAATTTTAGTGTAGGATTAACTGTGGAATGTAGAGATAGATTTGGCTTTTCCTTCAGTTTTTTCCCAAAACTCTGCTGGTTGATTCTGTCGTTTTGTTAACTTTAGAGTTTCAAAGTCAGAGCTTGCATAAGGGACTTGTGTCTTTTTTTTTTTTTTTGGTTTTGTTTTGTTTTAAGTACAACTGGGCAAAACACCATCAACATGTACCGATGCTAACAGGTAAGCGTACTTCTCAATAATTCAAAAACACTTAGCAGATTTAGAAGTTTTAATCTGTTTACTTTGTGAAATTGATAAATTTTATGTCGACGGTAGTTAAAGATGATGCCAATCAATTTTGAAATGACAATGTGATCATTTAATGATTACTTTTTGTTTTAATTATTGAAGTATGACGAATGCAAGCTGAACGTTGTTTTTGGTTTCATGGTAAGCATCTGAGAACAAGTTGTGGCAGCCTGAGAGTTGGTTATAATTGAATTGAGCAGATGGAATCTATGCTTCATTCTTTCACTTATATATTGATATACATATAATTTCTTGATGGGTAGTCGGTAGGTTAGATTTATACAAGTTATTAAAATTCTGATCTCCTATTGCTGCTCACTTAGTTTGTTAAATGTACAGTAACAGTAACAGCAACAGCAACATTTATTCAAGTTTGTCGTAATAAATTTTGTAACCCATTGGTTTTTGTGCTAAAATGGATGATAGAACTGTTATTTCTGACCCAAGATTAAGGTCTGACTTCTGAAATCAAAACTACGGTTAGCTAAAGTTATCCCATTACATTAAATTCCATATTTATTCTTTGGGAGCACGTTATATAGCTGTTAATGAAAGACACCCACTGTATGAGAAATTTCTAATTTATTATTTTAGGATCCTATTTATATTGTATAATTTTCAAATAATGTTAGTATATTCTAATTTATAACTAATATAATTAGGAGATTCAACAAATCATTTCCGAGCCATAAAATGTATGTACTTTTGTAATAGATTTCAGTCAATTGAAACATCTAATTATTTAAACAAATACAACGTCAAAACCAATTTCATAAGTAACCTGCACAATGCATGGACTTTTAATCTAGTTTAATATAATTTGAAACCATCAGGTAATTAATTGTAAAGACTGTTTATAATATCTTTACTCTTTATTTTCTAGAAAGTTAGGAGAAAAATGAACCTTTGCACTAAATATTCGGTTCTAAATTAATTGAATCTGCCAATTAAATGAAATTATGACGTGGCTGTTTTAGTACTCCATGAATGAAGTGTAAACGTGCAGTTCAAAAGTGAGTAACCGATCATTATGCTTTGATTTTGCATTTTGTGAAAATATTAACCAATCTTCCACCTTTGATCTACACGTTAAAAATATTAAGACCTTTACTCTAAAGATTCACTATATATATATATATCTAATTATCTTATTATATATATATTATATATGAAACACATACAACATTAGAGTTCACGTTATATTCTCAAAGGGCAATGACTGATTCATAAGCATTATATTCACTAGAAAAATATATATTAATTTTCATGTATAGTAGTCATTAATATATAAATGGCAAGAAGTAGAAGTTGATCGGTTTGAAAAGGATGCAGAAAGTTGTGAAACTTTCTAAGGAAACAAATAGAACAAGTAGCAGAAGAACAGAGCTTTTTATAGAGAAATGGATTCTTCCAGAAGCATATCTTTATTGACTTGGAAAAAAAAAATATCAAACTGAAAAGTAAGAAAATGTTTTTATACAAGGCAAGGAATCCACGTTGGCAATCTTTTGAACAACACAAAAAACTGATTATCAGTCGTTGATCTGACTAGATTGATTGTCAACCGTTGATTGCTCAACCCATACAACTAACACAACTATCACGGTAAACTTCTTAAACTAACACAGCAGATTACTTACACATTTAACAACTTCCTCAAACTAAGCTTCTGCATTTCCGCCGACTCCATAACATCCTCCCTCAAGCTGAGCAGCAAGAACTTGCTGCTAAAGCTTGTACTAATAAATTCGTATTTAATTAGAACCAACTTTCTTAAAATGGCTGATGCAATAATCTTTTAGATTTTTTTTTTTTTCTGTAAATAGCCCTTATTTTCATTCCACAACACAACAATCATCCTTTTACTCTCAAATCAATGGAATTTGTTAATCCTCTCCAGTTTTTAAAAGATAAGACCATTTTAATCACTGATGCCACTGGCTTTCTAAGAAAAGGTATTAATATTTTGCATTTACACTTTCTCATTCAAATCATTCTCCTTTAAATTTGATGTTTTGATATTGGTATTAATTTATAAGTTATTGTAGTTTTCGTGGAGAAGATCATGAGGATTCAACCAAATGTGAAAATTTTTTATCTTCTTGTGAGAGCAACCGAAGCAAAGTCTGCAATGAAACGAATTATTGATGAGGTTTATATTTCACTTCATGGCGTTTGATAGTTTGTTTCTCCTAAAAATATTCACCTAACATTTTTAGTGTTCGTATATTGAACTATTGCATATTGTTATTCACACCACAGTTCGATATAAATATAGATGAGAGAGAGTGATCATATATGTCATAAACATATTGTATTATCATATGAGTGACGAGATACTTTGTAATTTTAGATTTTTTTTTTTCAATAATATGATACAGGTTGAGAAGGATTTGTTTAATGTGCTGAGGGATAAACTCGGTGTCAATTTCAAGTTCTTTATATCAAAAAAGGTGGTAGCAGTAGCCAGAGACGTTTTTGAAGTAAACTTGGGAGTAAAAGATTCTAACTAATGGAAGAAATGTACAAGGAAATGCAACAACGGACTTCGATGAAAGGTACATATTTAGGAGAAAGAGCTAATTCCAATTTTCCTATATGTTTATATCCTATTTCTTCTCTTCTTTGAATCAATTTCATTTGACACAATAAATTGAATAATTTTTCTGTTGATTTATATTGTATTTAGATATGACTTCGCTTTCAACGTCAATACAATGGGAGCTCTCAACATTATGAGTTTAGCAAAGAACTGTATTAAAATAAATATGGTTTTCCACATATCAACCGGTAAATTGTTAGGGGTCAATCTGAATGGTTTAAGGCATTTAATTTTTTTTTCTAATAAACCTCCAAACCCTACCACTATAAATAAGAGTTTTTATTTAGTTTTTATGAGATTAGAGAAGGAGAAAGAGCGGCTATTATTTTAAAGATTGGAATTCTTGCAGTTTTCGTTTACTAATTAGAGAAGTTTTTCTATTTTCTTTCTTGAACTCATGTTATTGAATACAATGGTTGTTTTTATTACTGCGATTATGAATTAAACTCCTTTTCTATAGGGCTAAAGATATAACCCCATTTATGAATAAGTATTAACGTTATTGTTGTTAATTTAAATTGAGCATTAATTCTAAGTTTTATTATTGTGTGTAATGCTTTCAATTCTTATGGATTCGAGAGTTAACTGATATCATGAGTTATGTAAGACCCAAGTGGAACCCATTACGCGCTAACCAATTTCGAACTGCCATGTCGAGGTTGTTAGACAAAGATTGTGAGAAGTGTTTGTGGGTTTAACATTTTCTTTTCTTATATAAAGGACTTCTAGTTGGCATTGAGCTTAAGTCTCAACAGTCAACACACTAAACAACTCTTAAATGTCTTCTTAGTTGAATACTGTAACACCCCACTTGAGGTACGTACTTAAGATTTGCTGTATTACTTAAAGGATTCACTGTTTCAGCTTTCATTGAGTTTGTATGTTGTTGTGGTTAGTTGGTTAGCCTTTAATGAACATGGTATGTTGCATTGGTTTGGTTGAAATTTGGTGAAGTTTGGAAATTTGAGCTTCGCCGGGTCGAAGAAGAAGCTTCACCGCAGCGATGAGGAGCTGCACCCACAGGTAGGCTCTGCAGTGTTTCGTCGGGGCGACGTATTATTCTTCGCCGCAGCGAAGAGCCTAAGAAAAAGTTGCTTGAGTTTTCTAGAGAATTCTTCCTTTGGGGCACAATGACCATTCTACCCCTAATTAGTAGGAAAAGTGAGGAGTAAAATGTAAGGACATTTCATGGAGAATAGGTTGGTGTGGGGGTGTGAGTGAAATGAATCAAAGGATATAGATGGACTTTTCAAGAAAGGACAAGGGCAAAATGGGAAAGGAAGGTTATAATATGAGCTAAAAAGGGTTAAGTGTAGAGAAACCCATTAATTCATCCATTCCCACCGCCTCTTCCATTCTCTAATTTCTCTCAATTTCTCCATCCAATTTTCCAAGATTTCTAAGGAGTTTAGAGAGCTTTTGGGATTTTTTTTTTTTTTTTTTTGGTAGAGATTTCATCTAAAGCATCCTAAGGTAAGGATTCTTGCTTTAGATATAGATTTGCTTGTATTTGTATCTTGAAGCCTCATGGTTTTATGGTTTAAAGGTGTAGAGAAGGGACAAAAAACTTGATGCGTGTTTACTACAACATGCAAAAATAGCAAGTATACTAGTCGCTCAAGTAATAGAGTGATGAGTGAGTATCGTTCCCACGAGGATAGTGTTACTAATTACCGATTTTTCTAGTTTAAGTCCTAATTGAAGCAACAATAAATTGGATTGATGGAAGATTAACAAACTAAATACAAAATGCAAAACCCAACAACTTAACTAATTAAACAATTCTAAAACAAATGCTAGGGTGTTGAATTCACCTAAATACGCTAACCCAAATCATAGAATCTATTACCCAAGTTCTAATTCCTTGATTGAAAATCGAATTCCCTAAGTTGTAAAACATACATTCTCATGCTACATTTCCCTACTTATCCCTATTAAGCTTCCGCACCCAACAAAATGAAGATTAATAGTTCAAAGGATTTTAAGCTTTGTGGAATTCTATCTAGATTTCATAGATCGCTAAACCTATCTCTAGCGTTTGCTAATCTATGGTATTTATCCCAAGAGGCACAATCACAAATCACTTCTCAGTCTCATTGTGAACAACACACATTTGAATGGTGATCAAACATCCAAAAGACATTAAGCAAAGAGATAAACACTCAATCATGAAATTAAAACTCAAAGTAATTCAATCCATATAAATTTGAATCATTGTATCAAGATTACATCAAACCCTAGCTAAACAACTCAGTTCATACTCAAAAACGAAATAAAACAACAAAAACAAACTGAATCAAGATTCATCATTGAAAAGCAAGCAAAAGATGGAGAAATCTTCTCTAATTTGAAGCCCAAATCTTCAATAATCTTCTCCTTCCATGAGCTGCCTCCCAAATCACGAACCAAGCCTCCTTTTCTTTCCTTTTCGCTCTAATTTATACCTCTCTCACTTAAGGACGAAGCCCTAGCAAGCCAAAACGCGTCGTTTTATTTTTGCATCTGACGCAGGTTTCGCCGCGGCGAAGCTTTTTCCTCGCCGCGGCGAAGACTTACAGGCCCAATTTGAGCATGATATAGTTAGAATCTGGAAAAGTGTAAAACATATGAATTGTAGCCCTTTCAATTATCTTTCTGGTCGTTCAAGAATCAGCACAATCCGAGGTCTACAGATCAAGTTATGGCAGAAATACTGAAGCACGTCCAAAGACGTTTTTCTTCAGTTCCCAGCGTCCTTTTCACGACTTCAAGCCAAGTTTTCACCTTTGTCCAGTCAGAATTAGGAAAAACCCAAAACATGAACGTTGTAGCTCTTCTTCTTAGCTTTCCAAAGCTTCTAAATTCAGGTTATTCCGAGTTTTCAAGCTCAAGTTACACAATTTACGCTCAAAACTGTCATTTATGCTAAAAATCATCGTTTAGGCCTACAAAGACAAATTAATAGAATTAGGTAGCAATTATGGCCCAAATTGTATGAAAAGTATCCTAAATCCTATCAAAATTCAATGCAAAATCATAGTATAAAATACGCTTATCAACAAGGTACTAAGGAGAAGTATTAGTGGAAACTCTCCATTAAAGGTAAGTAAATCCAACCTAAGTTGGGATTTAAGAATCCATTTGAGTAGAGATTTTGTATGTAGATGTATGTATTATGCTAGTTGAGAGATTGAGATGTTATGAGTATTTATCTATGTTGATATTGAATATAATTGAGTTATGAGAAGTGTTGTGATTGCATGATGATGAGTTGAGTTTGATTGAAGTTGGAGGGAGTTTTGAGCAAACCCTATGGGAGTGTTTTGCCTTGATAGGAAATTAGAGTGTATGAGGGAGTCTTCTCCCATTTTGGATTTCTAGAGAATGAAGTATAGTAGTACTTATAGTAGAGTTTTATATGCACATGAGTTATATGATGAAATGTGCAAGAGAAACATGAGTAAGAGTAGAAAGCCTTCATTATTACTACATAGCATACATTTCACTAGTGCATTCATCCATATGCATTAATTATGCATTAGAGAAAGAGTAGAAAACTTTGAGTGTGAGCTTTAGTGAAGAGAAAGAGAAAATGAGCACTAGAGAATAAAGAGAAAGTAGTGCCAGACAAGAGAATAGAGTAGGTTATGCGATGGGGAAACTGTGAGTATGGGTAGAGTATTCCCGCATGTATGCCGCATTGAGAGAGCAGCATGAGTATGAGAGAGAAGTGGTGTAGCCCGTGAGAGTGCATGCGGATGAGGGCTATACCCGAGTTTACCCAAGAGAGAGTTTTATACACTCACATGGCCAAGGGTTCCGAATCCATGCATAACCAAGTCTTATCGGCTAGAATGAGTAAAAGTCACGGAAAGTGAGAGTGAGTCCCAGCCGTGCCTCCGGTCAGATGGGGCCGTGACTAGTTAGAGAGAGAGTTAATAGAAAAGAGAAAGAGAAACAGAGAGAGAGAAAGCAAAGAGAGTAATGGGAATTGTAAGGAAAGAATTAGAGAGAGAGTCACGGGGTTAGACTAGTAGAGGATTTACTTACTGAGCATTATTTTAGTGCTCACCTCGTTGTTTTTCCTATGTTTTGCAGGATCTAGGTGAGGACAGGGTCGGATGGACGTCGGCATGCGAGAGGAAGCGGTTACACTGTCCACCATGTTTTTGTTTATTTTGTATAAACATATGTACACGTTTGTAAAGAATATATATGTTTAATAAAAAGAAAATTTTGGACCCAATTTCTTTACACTATTATGTATGTGTTTCATTATATGTATTGTATAAGTATTTGATTGGAAAGAGGCTATTACAAATACTTCTTATATATTTCAAATTAAATTTTATTCTTCATTTTCAAATTAATTTATTTGAAAAGTTTTTTTATCCAAAGAATTAAAGGATGTAATTAGTATAAATCACATGTACATTTACAAATTTCATATACAAAGAGTCTGTTCAATGACCCATACAACCCAAATTTACTTTTTTCTAGCCCAATTTCATAGAATCATTGTGGGAAAAGCGAAAAATCGGTGAAAGCTGAGATAGAGCAATTGTGAGAGGAGAAGAGATGAGAAAAGAGGAGTATTTAAGAGTGTCCAAATAACTTATGAAAGGTCTTACTACTAACACTATTTGAAAGAGGTTATTATTATAATTTAACCAAATGAATAGGTTTCAACAGTACAACTATGGTTCATTCATGCAAGGTTCTAATGCTTTCTTTTGTAATAGCATTAAAACATTGCAATTAATGTTATCTTGTTTTCGATTTACTTTCAGCCATTATGATTCAAGCAATGAGTTTTATCACTTTGTTTTTTACATTAATTTATATATAAATAATCAACATAATTTGTAATTTTTTCATGCATATACAATAATTATTTATTTAATTAAAACTGTTCTTAACAATTTAAACCCT